ATGCATAATATCATAATAACGTAAACAACTAAGCAAACTGAATGAAGAAGTTTTAAAAAAGTATTTGAAAATGTCAGTATAACTCTGAAATATGTTTTGAGTGAATTAATTGTAAACAGTCTTTCTTTTTCTTGTTTCTTGATAATATTTTGAATATGCTTGCTATAGAGCAATATTAGTGTTGGTTTTTCTCTTTTGGACTTCTGTTTCTCTAAATTTTTATTTTTTAATGTAGTATTTGTTTTATTTAATTTTTATTTATTGTAACAAGAAATAAAAATTGAAACAAGATGAGACTAGACTCTCTGGTTATCTTTTGACAAAGAATAACATGGTATGCTTATTTTGTACTCAGTTCTTACTACCCTGTATTTCTAATACACGAACACTGTTGTGAGATGGCAGACTTGATTTTGCCATCTCACAAGAAATTTTTACCTTATTTCTTCATTGCAATCATTAAGAAAACATTGCACAGAAAATGGATTGAATAACACTCTTTCATCAACAACTGCTAAAGAATTATAACAATCTAGTGCTAAATTATAACAACCTATTATTAAAAGAGGGAAAGGTCAACCTTCAAACGAGTAAACGAGGAATCTTGCAGGTCTCAAACCAAATATGGCAGTAGCAGCTTCATTTAAACAACATCTTAGCATCATCGACAGCAACCTCTGACCTCACACCTGCAACTTCGTCGCCAAATGTCTGATCACTTGATGGGTTTTCCCATGCCTCAGAAGGATAAAAGAAGCTATAACTTGAGTCCCAGATGGACACTGGCAGTTCTATCCCAAGACACCATATCCCAGCAGACATTCCCAGCTCCATACAAGGTGGACATATTCAGGTTAAACCTCCACAGAATGAACATCCTCATGGCTACACACAACCAAGCTGTACTTCTGTTCAGCACTCATACTCTGTACAAAGACAACAATGACCCAATATTATGAGAGGTCAATCGATCAGTTACTTACCAGAGGTAATAGACTTAGAACATTTGTAAACTCTCTCTCTCTCCTTAAATGTAGATAAAATAGAAATTCACTTTGTGAGTGACATGTTTACGATTAGTATTAGTATTTAGTTGTTTAGTAGAATCCTGTATACTCTAGAAAATCTATATTAAACTTTTGTTATGTTTGTTAAACAGTCTACCTGTCTTTCTCGGACTACCGGACACCCTATTGACTTACTCATTGCAATCGCCCCTCTTGACTAGCAGCTCACCATTCATTTTTGAACTCTGTGAACTGAATATTATATCAGAATCAATGCTAGTTAGGATGCATTTAACCCTATCCTAACTAGTGTCAGATCCTGATGAGACAGAAATCTCTTGATTGTCTCTGATAATCTACAAAGCCATCCACTGACAACGTGAGTGGTTTTCACCAAACTGTTGTTAACAGGAATATAGGGAACCTCCCTAGGCCCCCGGCTTCTCACACTGTCATTAAACCTAAATATGATAACTTTCTGCTCAAGCTGAAGTTCTAAGTGACACAAGATACAATATGAAAACTGGCAGAACTCAAGCTATTTCTTGTAAATATTTTGTTCTGCTGATGTGATAAATCTATGCAGTCAGGAAAATTTCAGTTTCATCAGGAAAGAGGAACCAAAATATTTTATTTTTTCTGAAAAATTGCACTGCCATTTTTGACACACATCTGTGGTTGACACACAATTGAAATATGACACTATTCTTGGTTCCTTATTGAACATAATGACACTAGCAGTCTTATGCAAAAAAGTATTTGAATCCAAGTTGTGTCACTTCTTCTTATTGAAGACTGATGTATTTAGAGTATAATTAGCAGATAAAATAAAATTTGAAAAATTTTGACAACTCATTTTCTTGCTAGGGTGCTATATGGTCATAATATAATGAAATAATTTTGAATATAAAGAGTATTATGTTCTGTTGCTTGATTATCTTGACATTCCAGTTTTTTTTATTTTATTTTATTTTATGTTAGAATATACTCTAAATAGGAAACTGTAAAAACTTTATATTTTTGTTTAAAAATATTTTTAATTTTCTTTTTAACATAATCTTAAATAAAATAAATAATAAATATATGTAAGTTAAATTAATTCATTTTAGCAATTATTAATAATTAAAGGTAAATAATAATTTTTTCTTTCTTTTGTATTCTTTTTGCAAAGAAGACTAGCAATTTTTTTAATTGTTGTTTGATAAATATCCTTTAGAAACCTAATCTTAAATTTGAATTTTCAGAATCTTAATACTTCATTGCTTAGTAAAGTGTCTGGTGTAATGTTATGATTAATGTATTCTGTCTTATGGCATTAAAATCAATGGTTTTAATGCCATAAGACAGAATACATTGTCATAACATTACACTAGATCATTATTTGGCATGTGGTGCAGTTAACTTTCTTATAGTATTTTGTTAATATAAACAAGTTTCTTAATTATAGAGTGTTCATTATCTATTAAGTATGAGATCTTAATTTGATTATTTTGGCATATTCGTACACAAACTTAAACATTGATAAAATGACAGAAATAGTTAATTTACAACAAAAATTATTTTATATTTTTTAATTATTATAAAAAAATAAATAAAATAAAAGTATAAAATTTAACTTCTTACTGTGAATGAATACAAAATTTATTTAAGTAATGATAAAAATTAATAGAAAAATTGGCCTCTTAATTTCAGCTATGTGAAAATAAGTGAACAGTGGATAAAATAAAAATAAAATATATCATACTTTAAATTTAAAAGTTCTTTTATCATAATAATGTAGCTTTTTGAATGAATGAATAATTTTGAAAATTTGTAATTATGATACAATACAAAACATGGATTATGATACAATACAAAGAAATTTTGTGAGCTTTATAATCAGATCTAAAATTTGATTTAAAATTTAACTGTTTTTTGTTGTTAATATTTACATTTAAAAATCTTTTAAGCAGGGGTGTAGTAATAAATTAACTCCTTAAGGACATTGACATTTTTTATATAGATTTCAATTAAACGTAAAAAATACTTAAAACAGAAAAAAAACGAAAGAAATGCGTTTATTTTGAAGAAAAAGCTTTAAATTTTATTTTCCTTTGTTTCGCCTGTCTGTGAAATGTAACACCGATGAGTCATTGTTTACACAGCTGGGTGACCTTGAACACAGCTGGAGTCGGATTTCCCGGGACATTCTCATAGACGTCTCGGGAGGACAAGGGTTTAAAGTAGGGTGACTATAAGCGACACAGAAATTTTTAAATATTTTTAAAAAATTCAATATTTTATTGCGATTTCCGACCCCCCCTAATTAATTAATTATATATTTATAAAAATATATTAATTAAAAAAATTAAAAAACCATCGGAGGTCGTTTTTGACATCAGAAACTAACTTTAAATAACTTTACTGAATGAAAATCCGTGCGCTACAACTTAAAAACCATGAAATAATTTTGATAAAAAACTCCCATTAAAAAACAATTAAGCCTTAATCGAGCCTTCACATAGGCTCATTAAAATCGCGATAAAATTTTTTTGCGCGGGAAAAAAATTTTGAAAAAATTTCGGGACCTAAAAAACATTCCAAAAATTCAAAAAAAAAAAAAATTTCAAAAATGGCCTTAAGGACCTCATTTTATGTAACGTTATGTAACTTGCCCGAGATATCTCGGGTTATGGGCTTAAGGTGTTAAAAAGGGCTAAGGCACTAACTGGCATCCCAAGTTTGAATCACCACTATCTATGGAGGTGCCACCATCTATGAAATTTTGTATTGGGAAAGTGCAACTTTGGGAATAATATCTGCTAAATGGCTTAAATGCACCAAAAATGACCTATACAGTGGAACCTTGCTTAACAAGCACCTCTCATAACAAGTAATTCGCATAATGAGCAAGACAAATTGTAAATGAATCACTTGCTTAATGAGCGACACTTTGCATAACGAGTGATGAGGAGAGGGGAGGTCTCGGATTGTGCACGTGCTCCATCAGTTTGTGTTTAGCATTCCTTCCACTGGCATCTTAGTGTCACTTGTAATCATACATTTTTCCAAACTTGTGTTCAGACATATTACATATAAACATCAACAACCATAGCCCATTATATAATATACATGACAAGTGATATGCCAAATTCTTGTGCTATAATTAAATATTAGAAATTAATTAATTTGACTAGTGATATGCAGTTATGCTGCCATTGTGTATTAAATTTAATGACCAATTCTAAATTAAATTTTAGAAATGTCTAAATTAAAAATTAATTATTGATATTTATAATTATTAAATTTAATATGCCTTTACATTGCCCAAAAATTTGGCATATCGTTTGGCTGTTTGAGAAATTTTTTTTTTCTGCATTTGAATTTGCATTCCAGGTTGGTTCATTCAGTGCTAGAAGAAAAGATGAAGATGATTCACGCTCTTTAACAATGTATATTGTATAATTTTCTTTGAATAAACATTATACATAAAATATTTGAGTAGTTTTTGGCATGGAATGCATTATCGTATTTTACATTCATTTATATGGGAAAAATTGTTTCGCTTAATGAGTGTTTCACATTACGAGAACGAATTATGCTCGTTATGATTAGAACAGGAATTACACCCGTTCTGAACAGAAGATTCTGGAACTAATTATGTTCATTAAGCGAGGTTCCACTGTATATTCATAATCAGTGCAAAAAAAAAAACTGTTTAAGAAGTAATTTTTTTCAGTTTTTGGCTTAGTTACACATTCTAAAATCCAACCACAAAGTACACAAAGTACTAGCTAGAGCTTTACACTGCTTAAAAAATGAAAGTACTAAGACATTGCCCTGGTATGCCTTGGCATGACTACAGTGCTGCTTGTAAGATTATTAATGATTATGTTGAAAAACATTATTTTAGATAAAGTGTCATGTGACAAATTATTAAGTACTGTACATTTTTAAAATTATATTCTGAGTTTACTTTTAAAAACAGTTACAGTATTTTAAATTTTTTATTAGCTTGAACTTATACCAAGTACCCTTGAATTGAATGAAGTATTTGTGGATATTGTTAAAAATATTTTTGATTGTCTAAATACTTTTGGAAGATTAACAGATATTTTAAAAGAATATAAAGATGAAATTCCTGTGAGTATGATTGTTTTTGATTAACTAATAATTCTGTGTTATAAAAGAGTTTAAATTTAAATGAAACAAATAAAAAAAGCAAACATAATAAATATTGTACATATAAAAAAAACCATGACAATAAATTTAAAAATTCTTGTAAATTAAATTTAAAATAAATTTATTAGATTCAACTATATTAAGTATGTAGTAATTAAAATAAAAATTATTTAAGTTTTAAAATTTGACACATCTGTAACTGACCAAACTGGGGAGAACAGGTCTCTGTTATCTTTAATCTCCTTTTTTAACCTTTGCCTAAGTCCATTGTATGCAAAAATTGCTAAGAAGCGTGTGCTTCATATAGCTTTCAGGAAGTGCCTATCTATTTTCACCATCCTTCAGAATGGAAAAGACCCTCCCAACTCTTCCAGACTACCCAATGAACAAAAGGTCCTGATGCAATAGGGACTTTCTGTACATTGGGTCCATTAAATGTTCTATAAGAACCAGAATACAAGAACATATCTTGGATGCGCAACATGCTAGAATTTCCACAGCCCTCTCTACCTATACAGTGAATCTGGAAATTGTGATGGACTTCACGTGGGCCAAACTCTTCCTCACAACATCACACACAGAACACCTCAAATGGTTGGAAGCCATAGAAATCTTTAAAACTAACTTTATCATCTTGTATAAATTTTAAGGAGAAATGATGGTGATGATGGCCTGGCAAGCTCTATTTGAATCTTTGTTATGTGCAGAACAATGCATGATGGCTTTAAATTTTTATACTTACAGTTCAAATAGTCATTTGAATTTACGTTTATTTTAAAAAGCTCTTATGTTCTGAATGAAGTTCCATAACCATTGTAGCATCTGAAGAAGAACTCAGAAAGAGTTAGAAAACATTTGTGCAGAGAGAGTTTTTTTTCACACCAATAATATATTCTGTATTTGTTATTAGATTCTTTAAAGGTTTGAGAAGCATTTCTGAATATTGTTAGCTATTTTTTTCCTTGTATAAACTTAAGGGTTTCAATAGAAATCCATTCTTTCTTTTTTTCTTCCTCATTTGGTAGAATTTCTTTAATTGATTTTTTTGATGACTTTTATTATTGTCATCATTTACCCACATTGTTTTTTTTTAAATCTTTGATCAAAGCTTAGTACTGGTTGCTTATATTTTCTCCTTTTAGAAGGTTCTTCACTTGCTTTATAGAGAGAGATGAAAAAATAGAAGTAAAATAAACAAGCAAGTATAGACTTTTCCCAGTTTGTAGATTCAAGTATTTTTGAGATACTTACAATTAAAGTTAATACTTGCTCTTTGTATCATCAATATAAACAATGTATTGCACAATATTAATTTTTCGTGCTAAATGTATTTTGTATTTTATTGTAGATTTTTAATGTAATAAGTTAGTTAAGAATCAATTATTATATTGTTTTTAGATTTTTTATTGTAATTAATTAATTATTAAAATTTTAGTCATTCAAAGAAGTTATAATGAAAGATGAAGATTGTATTCATTTACAAAATAATATTTCAAGTGGACTTAATACTCTAAAGGACAATAAGGAAGCATATTGTAAACGATGGGAAGCATATTCTAATCTTTGGAATATAGATATGGCTGCATTTATAGAAAATTTTAAGCTGCAACAACCATCTGCTAAAATATTTGAAGATGACATTAACAGGTATTTATAAATGAAAATTTTTAATTCTCTAATAATATCTATAAGATTTAATTATTTTACAAATATATTTTGAAAAATTGCTTGACACTGGAATTTTCACATAACTGTCAATTTTCAAATGCCATGTACTTAACTTTTTCAATTTGTGTTGAAGAATTTTTATTTTATCTTCATTTTCATTGATTTATAAATGTACAACAAAATCCTTAGCTTTATACATTTATATACAAAATGAAATACATTTGTAGATTTTGCAAGAAACTAATATTAATTATTGTAACTAGAATGGCCAGTGTGAGATCTGAATAGCCCCTGGGACTAAATGATGATTTAAAAATATAGTTTAAAATTTTGTAGAAAAATATTCTTTCCTTTGGTGAGAAAATAACGATTTTCTAGCGTGGGAAAGCAGATAACAGAGTCACTTCCTTTGACGGAAGTAGAAGCATCCTCTGTTTTTCCCTTATCTGTTAAAAATCTCCCCATGATGGGAATTGATGATCCCTCATTTCTTTCCCTTTTCATCCATTCACGTGGGTGAAGAACAGTATGATGATTGGTCGTAAACCAAGAGATATAGTTGAAGTTTGACAGAATTCGGGGAGCTCATCAACAGATCCCAGATGAGGAAGACAAAATCCATACAAGCTCCATAAGGCCAACGCCCATAGTCGTATCCTATTGAATTAATATTGCGTTAGAGCCATAGAAGATATAGTTTAGGAACGTGAATATCAATGCCTCTCCATGAATAGGAGTATGAGAACCTTATAATTGAAGGTATTTTCGACTAATACAAATACAGAAGAAGAAGAAGTCCACTACACAGGTTGTATGTTTATTAATGAATTGTGAGCTCTCTCTCTCGATATTGTATAAGTTAAGTAAGTCCGTTACTCTCTTGGCGGTATCTTGATTTATTCGTTGTCTTCATCGATTGTATATAATTACTTAATTATTTCCATGTTGTATTAACTTGTTTATTTTAGATTATTAAAATTTTCTCGTTAAAGAAAATGTCTCTTGACTGTTACCTGAATCAGATCCCTACTCGCGTGTTTATCCGCAACCGATAAGTTGATAAACTGGTGTCAGGTCCCTGACGTTGGAACTGAGGGATCTCACAATTTTTCGTTCCGCTTTAATATTCAACTGTAAGTCCCTCCGCACTCGATTTTCCTAAGATTGGGAAAAGCCATTCTTTTGGACGACTGAGAACTAGTCTCACCGACTAGCCGCCGATTAAGTGGTATTAACTATCCTAGCGGAGTAGTACCCCTGCTGATCTCACACCATTAACAGTTATGTTTTGTTTCTTAGTTATGAGCTATTTGCTGCTGACATGATGTAACATGTTTACTCTTTACTCGTAGCACTAATGAGTGATATGAGGATCATTCTGAAAATTTCCAGATACATGAAAAGTTTCATGTGAAACTTGTTAACATTTTTCACAATTTCTCAAAGTACTCTCTGTGATGCTTAATGCAACTGTTCATTTGGTCAAACCACTTCTGGAAATACATGGACCACTCTTCTTCAGGCAATTACTATAAGATCTTACAACATCTGGTGACCAAAATGATGTTCACAAAGATCCTCCTTCACTTTTAGAAAAATGTCACAAAGTGCCATATCAGGGCTACATGATCAATGGTTAGTAGTTATTTCTTTGACCCATTCAGAAGCTTGATAGTCTTTGTGGCCATATGGCTGAGTGTATTGTCATAGTGAAGAAGATCTCACAGTCTGTTGTTTGACTACCTTTTGTGAATTTGACAAATCTGAAAGATTTTGTACTACTATGGTGTACTGTTTTTCAGTAATAGTTTTTGCTTTCACTAGCAGGAATGATACAAATGTATGCAGTTTTTCCAAAACAATATATCACTATTTTCTGATCAGCACTTCTTGCACACTTCACCTTCAGAGGAATTTCTTCATTGTGAAAAATCCAAACTTGGGAGTGCTGCTTGGTTTCTGGCTCAAACTGATAGACAAATATTTGATCAAAAATAATGACATCCCACAAATATTTTGATGTTCCATTTGCAAAGTTTTCAAACATGTCATAATATCATTTCAAACTTAAGGAGAAATATCATTAGAGTACTCTAATGATATCTCTCCTTAAATTTGTTTCAAAGACTTAAACTTTTCAAAATTTTGGAAGTAGATGTAGTATGCTTTCAAGAATTTGAATATCAAATAATAATATTACGTACTAAAATAATTGTCATATTGTATATAAATAATATAAATATTTCAAATTTCAGATATACAGAATTAATGAACGGTGCACAAAAAGAAGACAGAAATTATTACATCCAGTTTTTATCTATTGATTCAACTCCAGTAAAATATTCCATTAAAACATATTGTTTAAATTGGAAAAATGAATTGTTGAAATTATTATTTGAAATTTCTAAAGAAAAATTATTGGAGCTTCATAATTATATGGATACAAATATAGAGAAGTAAAATTTTTATTTTTTTAAAATATATTTAAAATCAGTATTAATTAATATATATTATAACTTAAATATATTTACTTACTGTAATAAAAGTAGGGTTCTTAAGGAAGCTCCTCAAATGTAAAATCTAATCCAAACTACTTGTTACAGTAACTGCTCCTGTAACTTTCTTGTGATAACTTTCTTCCATTCTCTACTTTTTCCATACTCTAGATGTGATAATATATATTGGAAAACCTTTACTCTTCTTAGGAAAAATGGATTAAGTAATCTTACTTCTCAGATTCTCTTCGAGTTTCTTATCATTCAATGACAAAAAAGATTGTATGCTGTTTGTTTAATATATTCCCTGCCAGTACAAAACCAATTTCAGTACCATTTTGCCAAATTCTTATTTATTTTTTGTTTAATTATATGTATTTATTTATACTGTATATTATACTGTATATCAAAAACTTGCACATAAACAAACTATTATATATCCAGCAATCATACTACAAACACATGCCTCAAATGGTTATAGAAAACAATACACACAAAATATACTATGATTGTGTCATAATTACAGATAAAACAATCCATCATCACAGACTGTGTATATATACATAATATTCATTGACAAAGTTACTTACATCATATACTATTCCAAATTTGGATCAGACAAAATCATTCCAAATATTTACATGATACAAAATACATAAATTGAAAAACTTAGTGTAGCTAAATACTTAGAACTTGCCCACAAAATAAAGCAACTGGAGGATGGATAAGATATTTACTGTGACTGTAGTCCTTACATACATACCATACCATATATACTAAACAAAAGTCTAGAAACACAATAACACACAAATCACACTACTATAGAAAGCTGCTATTCTAAACACTTTATATGCCAGGAAATTTTTAAATACATACAGCATATAAAGAAAGTAATTGCTTAATAGTAAAAAATTTACAAATATTGTAAAAATTTATATAAAAGATTTTTCAATTTATATAGCAGGGGTGGCCAACCTGCGGCTCGCGAGCCACATGCGGCTGTTTGAAGAGATTATTTGTGGCTCTCGATAGATGTACCCGAGTTCCCTTTTCATTTTTGTGTTATTATATTTTAAAAAATTATTATCGTTCCTATGTGTTTCAAAATGTCTTTTAAATTACTAACAACAAATATGAAAGACTAAGTGCAACGTTGTAACAAATTTCATTTCTGTCCAAGTTAAGAATGATATGACTAATCGAAAACTGCGCGAACGAACATAAACAGTGGCGTAATAGTCCGTTATCGACCGACTCCAGACCGATTTTGAATTTGTAAACTGTCATTGCAACGGACAGTTGACATTGTGCTCTGGAGGAAACAATTTGTATCACTCTTGCTACGGATATAATTTGTATTCTGAAATTTTTTGCATATCTTTTTAATACATATTTAATTGCGGCTCGCGAAAAATTTCAAATTTTGAAAAATGGCTCGGACTATCAAGGAGCTTGGCCACCCTGGTTATATAGATTTAATAAACTATAAAATTAAGTTCATAATGACAAAATAATTCCATAGTTGAAAACGTTTTCAACTACAGAACTATTTTGTTTTATTTAGTTATGCTTTCATCTTGATTCAGCATAGCAGTTGGTATCAGTATATAAACTGAGTAGGATACAATTCATTAATACCCTGTAATAGTAATATAGGGTTATTCAAAAAGGATGGTGTGAAATCAAAGCTGATTTATTCACATCTGAAACAACATACATTAACTGTTAAAATACAATGATTGAAGTTATAATGTATATATATGTATTATATTGTAATGATTTTGTAACAAGTTTTTTTTCTTGTTATGTAATAAAACATTGTTGACATTGGTGATGATCCCTTAGGGAATAGTTAGTCAAGTCACAATGACCTCCTTTTTACTCTTTCCTTTTATAGTGCTGGCATTCCATTAGAATTTTTTTGTAATTTTTATATTTTGTTTACATACACCTCTTCTATGAGTTTAACTAGTTGTATCACAATCTCCTACAAGCTTAACAAGTTAACATCAACATAAGAACATGAAAGGACAGAAGAACTCATCAAGTTTTGCATACACAAGTGTTCAATGTAAGCACTATTGGTGACATGGCAGATGTCCAAATGTATTTCAGCATTTCCTCTGAATATCAATTCTACTGTTTTGGAGATGTGTATTTTCAGGTTGTCCAGGTACTGTGTGCATTTCTGAAATTTGCATATAGATTCTACAATATCCAATGACATGGGTCCAAAAATTGATCACTTAGCTCTTATTCACTGCAAAGAATTAACATACTCTAAAATTGACAATTTACGGGTAATTCTCTGAGAGTAATTATATAGAAAAAAGGAATTACCAGAAATATCAGCTTTCAAAATACAATTTCAAGTAGTAGTGTCTAATACAAAAAAACCTGTGTAAACTGGAATTGCACAATACAGAATATTTTTTTCTTGTTTGACAGATTTTTATTTTTAACAGGTTTTAGTATTTTTTAATCTATAGCTTGTATCAGATAAATGTCAAAAGTCACAACTTACATTCATTATTTTAAATAGAAAATTACTTTATTATACATAAAAAAACATTTTATTACTAGATTTAATCCAGATTAATCCAAAGTAATTTCAATTAAAGATAGAAGTATTCAAATGCAAGAACTATTTGATTAAAAAATGTTCTCATTGTTTTCAAGAACTCATGCTTGATATTTGAGTACTTTTTATATATGACCTTTATGAGTTCACAGGATAGCTAACAAGCAAGCTAGTTCAAATACCAAAATTAATGTCTTGTTCTACCATAAGAAATTCTAATCACATTACAATACAGAGACCAAGTTATTCCGTGATCTGGCTTCTTCAGGAATTTTAATACCGTAGTAAATCATTTACTTCAGTGTCTGTAATTATCAACAGTTAATCAATTTGTTTTTAAATGCTTCATACTGATTAGTTACTAGCTACTGTATACATGGGAAATTGGTAACATTGGATTACCTTATTCTCATTGTTTTTACAAATTTGTTGCTTGTTCTTGAGAACTTGTTTCTTAGAAACTCATTCAATTCTTGAAAGTTCTTAAATCTTAAAAGTATTCGATACTATCTCTGGTTAATTCTGATAAAGAACTTTTTATATGTTCTGTTGTCATGTTACCTTTGTTTTTCTGATAAGGTTTTAAATCTTTCTTGGATTATAATTTGTCACACACTGCAGTGACCATTATACCTGGAGACAGTTTTGCTTACTTTCTATAAATGGAATTTTAATTTTCTGCTTTATTCAGGTAATGTTCTTCATACTAAAAAATCTCCTCTGTTTCTGTATTGAGCAGGTTTCTAGCTCATAGTAAAATTTAACATAAAAAAAAACTACTTCATTCCTAAGAATTTTTGTAGGTAGTTTTCTGTTTTATGAAAGTAAAAACTGTTTTGGACAGTTTTTACTTTCATATAAATTTAAAGTGTGGATATACACGTAGAAAATAATTGGCAAGAGCTAAAGACAAAACATTTGACAGTTTCAAGAAAAGTTACAACAGCAAATGAATGTCTGTAATGCACAAAGGATTTTCAGATTTTTTAAAGATGTTCTTAATAAGTTTAGAGAATGGAAAGGTTATTGGATGAGTTCATAAATGTCAGATAACTTGAATCATCACATAATCAATACCTATTGATATAAAATTGCTCAAGTGGTCAAATAACTCAATTATTACAAATAGCTTGATTTTCTCAATTATCATAATATCACTTGGATAGTGATATTATGTATCACTTGGATAGTGTATCAAGTAGCAATTGTTTGAGATAATCACTTTAATAGCAATCACTTGAATGCTAGTACAAGAAATTATTCAAGTGCTTGTTCAAATGATTTTGTGTTTGAATGGTTCTTGAATAGTAATTTAATAAATTTACTAATCTCTTGTAATTCAATTTATGATATTCAAAGGATGAATAAGAAAGTCATTTACTATCTTGAATTTGATATCTTTTTTAATTAAGTCACTGAAAATTGATCTTATATTTTATAAATAATTACAAATATTATGTTTATAAATATTTCTTGAGATTAAAATTTCCAATCTGCATAATAGGGTAATATATATTAAAAAAAAACAGTTTGTTATATTTTTATGAATTACAGAGTATGTTATCTAAAATTTTATATTATTTTATTTATATTTTGTATCTTTACCAGTGGCGTGCCGTGACATTTGATGATAGGGAAGTTGTGTTTCTGTAAGAAGCTGACTTCCAGGGGCAATCAGTTAATTGCACTTCAGTGATGGTCTAGGGTCCATTCGTATCATTTGTTCGATAAGCCAGTAAAAACTGTAGACTTCTCTAAATGTATTTTTAATATCACAATTACATTCTGAATCGCTAGCCACGATATAAGGGCTACAATTAAAAATAAAATAATAAAAACTTACTTGGTGAAATAAAATGTGTGGTGGATGTACCGGTACATACCTGGTACAAAGTATTCTTCAATTGTATGCATATACTTTTAAAGAAAATTATGATTAAATATAGGTTTGTAAAAAAACGTACATAAAAATAACAAGATATTCTTTACTTTTTAAATCTTAAAACAATCCACTTAGTCAAATAGATCCCTACAAGTGGCTAATGGATGGAATCAGAGACGATCTTGGTAGGTGTACAGTGCATGCATGCATGCCAAATCCTGATGGTGCTGATACCGGTTAATGCCTCTTTTGTTGCATCACTAGTATATCTCAAAGGACATGACAGTGTTGTTGTAGATTTTAAACGTTTCTCACCATAGCTGTAAAAATCTATATATGTTAAACTTAATAGTCATTTGTTTTCTATAATTTGTTTTAGGACCAGGTTTCCATGAAATTTCCAAAATTTACAACTTTTCCGGTCACTTTCATTGAACTGGAAAAATTTCTGTCTTTATTAATCTAATATTATTAAGAACCCACTGTACTTGGCTAGAG